TAACGAGAACAGGAGGAAGGTCGAACGCGGCGGATACCGAGAGAAACTCCGGTCCCCGCGAGATACATACTTGCCAACGTTCTTCGAACGCGTCGGATTACGTTGTAAATAATTCGACGGCCACTCGACGCTTCATTAGGCGAAAGTCGCGCGGCACCTTGGATCCATCGTGTGTGTGCGATTTGTGTGATTAACTGTTGAAATTGCTTGCTTCAATAATAATAAAAAAGATTTATATCTGTGTATGTATGTGTATATTTATTTCTGCCTCTTTGGAATTGCCTTGAAATTGACTTTGGTTTTTACGCTGCACATTTCGTTATAATATTTACATAATATTTTTGTATCCTATTTTGCTTTATCCTATGCTTATGTTTATCTTAAGCTAAGCTATTCTTTAGTCTACTTAAGTCTTAAGTATCTTAACTTAATTAAAAGATTTATATTTATTATGATAATAAAAGGTGCAGCGGGCACTCACGTATGCAGTGAGAATGATGAATGATAGAATGTGGATACGCGACACGTGGTTACTGTTCTACGGCTCGATCGGAAAGGAACTGAAAAACGTATGAAATCCGTGGAGTCACGTTATCGTTCTAACACAAGCATATAATAACATAGGCACGCCGCACACATCCCATATCATTGTCCTCCAACATTAACGATTGATAACGGGGGGAGGGTATTAGCAGCGTTTGAAAAATATTTGACGCGGTGTTAAGAGATTTATTTTTGGAAAGGAATTGTCCTTTGATGAGCCGTTGAATTTGTAAGTTCTTTTTCGCTGAAAATGTAAGTCAAGCGAATGTAAAGTCAAGCGTATTGTCTCATTTGGAAATTGACGTTAATCCTTTTAGGGCTGAATACTTCCGACTGAAACATCTTATCGCGTAGCCTACCGACAAGATCGATACAAGGCGTAATTAACAAGTTATAATTGTAATTTTTCAATCGAACCAACCTGATTAACGCTGGAAAGAGAGCTATTTTTGAGCATAGATTATTTGATTAGAAACATCAAGATTTAAAACGCGCCTTAATTTGAAGATATATATATATATATATATATATATATATATATATATATATATCGATGAATCTGAATACTTGAAGCTCAACGAGCATAACCTCAAAAATATGGAAAACTTTAAGTCTGTATTTTAAACGATAAAATATTACATGAATACTTTGTATCTGTGTTAGATTCATTTTGCAAAAAAATGAAACTTTTATGTATGTGACAAAATGGAACTTTTATATATATATATATATATATATATATATATATATATATATATATATATATATTATTATATAATGAAGTAATTGAATTATTTTGTAAAAAATTTATATTACGCATTTAAACCCCACTAGACCTAATAATTCGTTTGAGTATGATGAGACTGTATTTATTTCATACGCTGATAATTGTCACCAAAGGATATCCGTTCATAGTCGATGACTTTCGCTCAAAGGATTCAAAGGACTCAAAAAATTTGTGACTAGTAACGTCAAAGACAGTTAAACTGTGCACAAATTACTCTTGCAATCGATTAAAGAAAAAGTTGACGACTAAAATCACGAGGAAAATATCTCTATGTAACACTCGCAATTTGAAAAGCTAATTTTCACGATTGCTCCTAATTCGAAACATTTGTTTAAGAAATGCGTATCACTATCTGTATCGTTGCAATTTCCCTCTAACGCACGTAACGATTGAAACGGTGTGACGGGATTTGAAACGATTCAGCTCGGAAACCAGGTAGCCGATTGCGCAAGCAAGGCCGTGCGAGCAGCAACGAGTCTTACGGTCGGATAAGAGGTCGAGCGAGAATTCGAGGCGGGCATTTTAATCATCGGTGTAAACGATGTAACGCCTGCGAATTACACGTTTCGCTTGGCCGGCCGGGGAAATCTGGCGCGTTTGTTTCGCGCTCGAAATTGCGGACACGCTCGTACGAAAATGAATTTACCCGCGTTACGTAACGATCAATCGCGATGGAATATATCTCGTACTTTCACGTGCGCACATTATGTTGTTTCTCAGTTTTTTACTCGTTCACTCTCTCTCTCTCTCCTTTCGTTGCACTGTTTCGATAACGTTTGTCAAATGTTTCGTCAAATTTACGGTCTCAAGTGCAGTCAGATTGGAAACGAACGCTCGACGATTCCTAATTCGATGGAATAATATACAAAAAGAAAAAAATGAAAGAAGAAAGAAATAACAAAAAGAATCGCGTCGATTTACGACTACACGGAATTTCGCCGGTCGCGATTGTAATAAACAGAGTCGATCGCGTGTTACCCCGTGCGCAGGGCGTGGCGATAAAAACCGCAATAAGCTGACGGGCGAGTAAGCTGATTTTTCCACGAAAAAAGTAAATTGGAAATCCGCCAAGGCTCCTTCAGAACGATCCTCCAGATTGATTAGAAAATTTGTGGAACTCGCACGCGCGGCGTTCACGTTCGATCTACGATTTGTAAACGCCGCTAGTATTAATGGCAACATTTACACAATGGACGTTGAAACGCTTTATTTGTTGACTCGGCTATTTGCTTGGCTAAGGCGCGGTTCGCGAGAATATTGCTCGCTGCGAACGCAGTGAAATTCTAACGTACGAAAAATTGCAAACTTAAATCTAAGTTACTACCGTGGTGGAATATAGTTTCACTTCAAATTACAAGATGCGTAAAGCGCGATGAAATTGTGCGCCAAATGCAAATGAGACGCACAAGTACAGGGTTCAAGAATATATAGGACTATAATATTATAATATAATATCGGACCGCTAAAATAAATTCGTAATTGTTTTTATTATATACTTATTTCGATATTTGAAAGAAATAACTTTTCAAAAATTCACGTTTACACTGAAATTTAATTTAAAATTACAAAATTAGATTTTTCTTGTATTTTGATATTTAGAAAAAAAAAAGAAGAAAAGTTTGACCCACCCTATAAAATGAAAAAGAAAGAAATAACTGCAAGTGCATCGGAGAAAATTCATCTGCAAGAAAATAAAGAAGCGCTCAAACACACTCAAATTTTCAAAATTAATTTTTCCAACTTCAAGATCCGCAACGCTGCTCTCCCTTTTTCACGTGGAAAGTCAACCACCATGGATCTGTAATTTTACCGTGACGTTGCGGCTAATCTGACTCGCAAAACGCAAACGCGGCACGGTTCTTTCTCCGCGAAGCGTGCACGAGTTCCGGTAGATTTGGATTGATGTGCGCGGCAAACGCGAGAGGCACTCTCCAGGTGGTGATACGGGCGATGAAAAGATTTTCCGTGAGACCGCGTATAATGCATCGGCCGGGAACACGAACGAACACCATAACGGTATAGCGATAATGAGTCATTAATGTGCGAGATACTTGCACGCAGCCCCGGAGGGATTCCGTCCCGTGGAACGCAAGCACGCGGATTGATTATCTCGTGCTGTTACAGTCACCTGCAGGCGTACACGATGTTTATAACTGCTACGTGACTGGCATACGTGTAAGCATTACGCCAACGGTAATTAGGGACGGCGCGCGGCGAAGAATTATCCGGGGCAAATATTTATGTCGTCAGCGAAATCCAGCGGGATCGCGTTCCTTCACAACGATCGACGCGTGATTCGCGAGGCTGGACAAGCGAAGAAGGAGAACGAGCAATTTTTGCAGCGAGTTGGGGAGGCAAGTATTCGAACGATTATCGTGGAAGCCACTTATGTTCAACGTTGTACGTTCGAGAATTTCTTTTTTGCTTTTCAATTTTATTCACTTTCGAGTCTGGAAATTTCGTGGGTATCGTAACGAGACGCGACTGTCGCGATTATGGTTAAAATTTGGAATTAGTCTTACGCACAAGTTACGAGACATTTATTTATATGTTTAGTGATAACATAACAGTACAAGTGTTCGAACGATT